ATATTACATATATAGAGTTGATTTCCTTTATAATCCTATGTATTTTATTGCATGCATGTAAAAATCTTAATTTGAGAAGAATCCCATAATATTTAAAAAACAATTCCCAAGGAGTCCATGATATAAAATGGTTAATATCTTCTTTACAAAATAAACTCTTATAACGCATTTCTGGAGATCTACACGATAGCATTCATAGCCTTGATTTTTAATAGCGAAAAGCTAAAAACAATCTAAAAACTCATTAAAAGAAAAATGGTTGAGTAAATTGTGGAACATTCACACACAGAATACTATGTAACAGTAATAGCTGAATGGTAGTCCAACTAAATATAGTAGATGAATAACACACATATGAATGAATCTCAATGCTGAGCAAAAAAAGTGACTTAAGCAGTACGATTCCATTTTCTGAAACTTAAAAACATGCTGAAATAAAACAATATTTAGGTATCCAAATATATACAGTAAAATAATAAGGGAACACATAGCCATGAAAGCTATCAGGATCAAGTTTCCCCTGGAAAGGAGAATGGGACACATACTTGTCTTCTAAAGCAGTAGGTACTAGGGCAATTGTATGTTATATTTTTGAGCTGACAGGTAAGTGTACTAGTATTCACTATGTTATTATTCTTTATACCTTCTACATATCATTGTTATTTATTCAATAGCTAATGTACAATTTAGAATTTTTAAAGATATAATGATACTTGGCTGGGCGTTCATTAAACTATTGCCTACCTACACCTGCCACGGACACTTCCTCATCTGACCATGTTGTTCTGATGGAATAATGCAAATAACTAGAGACAGCTAATGTCACTTTATATTAGGAAATGATAACCTAAAAATCAAGGAAATATTCAAACTAAATAAATTGTTTCTTGGTTTCTAACAAGAAGGAAAAAGAAAAAAGTGTGAATAAAGCATACATAAATAACTAAAAGAAATTGACATGTATTAATTTTCTACTATATGCTAAGTATAATTACTATAATGTTCTTGATATCCACAGAATATAAAGGAAAGATGCAACCATCAGAGAATAGGTCCTGTACACCTTACATGCTCCCTTTTTACTAAGCCGATAGCCCAAATGGCCCTGATTCTACCACCATACCCGCTTCAAATAGGCCTTCTGCAGGTTGCCCAGCAAAACACTTCACTCTAAAAACACACATTCACTTATTTAAGAGTGTTTATTGAGTGTCTTTCCAAAGTACTACTCAAATTTTTAAAATTATTTTTAGAAAACTTTTTTAAAAATAGCATACACACCAAAATATTTGTGATTATGGCCTTTGAGTGTGGGGATTGTGAGCAATTTTGACAATAAGGAATATATGTTGTTTTATGAGAAGAAAGAAAACTCAATGAACTTAAAAAAAAAAAAATAGCCCTATGAAACAATGACCTAACATCCCTTCCTTGCCTAAGCTCAGTATAGAGATCTAATTCTTAAGCAGGGGACATATAGTCTCAGAAAACAGATTTATAAAGATAATTTTGAAATCTGCAGGAACTGAGTAACATATCTATAGAAAATGAAACTACCTGAAAAACATTTTAATTATGGGTAAAATATAAATAATCAGAAGTATAGCTCTGAATTTCTTTGACATAAGAAAGGTAAAACAAAACAAAACAAAAACTGTGATAAGAAGAAAATTCATTATACTGAGACGGGATTAAAGGAAAGGGCAAAGAAATAACTGAGAAATTTGAAACCTATAAAATAAATTTTGTTTTGATATGGGAGAGTCTAAAGTCATTGCTTAGAGGAAGAATACAGAGAACAGCATAGAGTTTGATGTAAAAAGGAAAAAAATGCTTAATTAATTAACATCTTGGAAAAAGCAGCTATGAGAAGTGACAAGTGTGAAAACCCAGACATAATCAACTTGTACTTCCAGAAGGTTTGAGATACAGTATCACATAAGGATTCGTAGATATAATTACTACTGCTGTTGAAATGCCAAAACTCTATGTTGAGAGTAGAGAGTAAAAGGATGTTGATTTTGGCAGAAATCACAGTGGCAAAAACATCAACATTACATTTGGTTATTCAGTATATATATATATATATATATATATATATATATATACCTGTCAACAAAAAAATACTCATATATGTATGAGAGCTACCTACAGAAGAGTTCACAATTTAAAAAAGTAAATGATTTCTTTTTGAAACTAAAATCAGGAACAAGTTAACAGTTTCTTTTGAAACTAAAATCAGGAACAAGAAAACAACAGTTGCTTAGGAATAGACATAAATCAGTGGAACAGAAGAAAGTCTAGAAATAGACCTGCATATATATATATATATATATATATATATATATATATATAGAGAGAGAGAGAGAGAGAGAGAGAGAGAGAGAGAGAGAGAGAGAGAGAGTAAACTGATTTTTGACAAAGATACTAAGATAATTCAAGGGAGAAGGATACTCTTTCCAATAAACGGTGCTGTAACAACCGGATATTTATACTGAAAAATATGAACCTCAAGCCTTATCATATACCATACACAAAAATTAATTCAAAATTGTCAGAGACTCAAATAAAAGCTAAAACTAGAAAATCTCCAAAAGAAAATATAGCAGAAAACTCTCACAACTGAGGGATAGGCAAAAATTTCTTAGGATACAAAAAGTACTAATCATTTGCAAAAACTGATAAACTGAACTTAATTAAAGTTAGAACTTCTGCTCTTAAAACACATAGTGAAGGGAATAAAAAGGTAAAATTTGAAGCTCTAATATACAACATAAAGACTAAAGATTATATAGTATTAGGAATTTTTGTTAAATAAGTCGATTTTAGCTATTCTTGTTACACATACAAAACTACAAGAGATGACAGACATTTTAATCTACTTCACTATAGTAACCATTTTACTATCTATACCTATTTTATAACATTGATATGGAAGAGCTAGGAGGGGCGTGGTCCCTTTAAATGATATGAAAGTGGGGAAGGGAAGTGCTGTGTAGAGGAGCCCTCTGGCTAGGGCTCCACCCTCAGGCCTGTGCCCATGGGCCTAGGTGAAGACAGGCATTTTTGTTTTCCTGCCCAAATGTTGCATTTCCCAAGACTACCCTGGCTGCCATCCTGTACTTATAAAAACCCCGAGACCCTAGCCGGCAGACACATAGGCAGCTGGATATTGAAAGGCACACACCAGTGGAGGAACACACGAGTGGCTGAACATCCAGAGGAATGCACCAGCAGGCACTGGTGCACCCACAGGCCATTGACCAGGAGAACAACGTGGAGTCTGGCTACGGCAGTAGGAGGAGAGCCCAGGCCTCTGAGTGACCCAGCGCCAGTGGAAAACCATCTCCCTTCTGGTTCCCTCATCTGCTGAGAGCTACTTCCACTCAATAAAACCCTGCACTCATTCCCTAAGCCCATGTGTAATCCAATTCTTCAAGTGCACCAAGGAAAGAACCCAGGATACAGAAAGCTCTCTGTCCTTGTGATAAGGTAGGGGTCTAACTGAGCTAACACAAGCTGCCTACAGATGGCTAAACTAAAAGAGCACTCTGTAACACATGCCCACCAGGGCTTCAGCTGTAAACATTCACCCCTCGACACTGCCATGGGGTCGGAGCCCCACAACCTGCCCGTCTGTATGTTCCCCTAGAGGTCTGAGCAGTAGGGTACTGAAGAAGTGAGCCATACCTCCATCACATGCCCTGTGAGGGAGACAAGAGAACTTTTCCCGTTTCAACTGGGGGCTCGTCCAGGGTTGTGGAAGGTAAGTGTGAAACTGTCGGATGAAACTGAGCAAATATGAAACTGTTGGGTCTGCCTCTCTTCCAAAACCCTGCCACCTTTCTCTCTTTCCTGCAGGTAAGAAGTTCTGTTTCCCTTCATGAAGTTTTAAACTGCCCTACCTGGGCCAGTCAAAGCCCCCACACTTTGTCCCTTTTCTCTCTCTCGCAGTTTAAAATGGCTCTTATGTCTTTCTCTATAATGTTAAGAGTTTTGCTACAGGCTGCCTCAATGTTACTAAGTAAAATGAGCATTTGGCTCAGCCACCAAAGGGGCAAAATCAGATCAGTTTTTCCTAGAGGTGGCATGTATGCCTCCACCTTGACAGCCACAGGCAGGCACACTCAGGGCACCTCTCCTTATTCTTACCCCTCCCAGCTCAGGCACCTGGGCATGCCTGCAGCAGGCAAAAACTGAACCTAACAGTCACCAGGGGGAACAGGAGAAAACCAGCAGCAGCCAGGGCCCCAAAGGGCCAACATATGGTGCTTCTTGCCTGCTGTGCCAATGGAACATTTCTCCTTCGGCCAAGGAATTCGACCCAGTCTGAACCAGGGTAAAGATATAAGAATGAGAGAAACCCAGTTGCACTAAGCAAGGGGTTCTTTCCCCAGAATCTCCCCCTTTTAGCCCTTAAACTATTTTTCTCTTTTTCCCTTTTCTATGTGAGAGGGTTCCCCTCCCAACTCTGTTTCTGATAGGGAAGTCAATGGAGGAATGACCCCTGCTGGCTGAGAACTGCAAATTCAGCAGGGCTCATTTGAGACACTCTAAACAGATAACAAACAGCCTCTAAAATAGCTTCAATCCCAAACTTGATTCCAAGCTTCAGGCTAAGGTCCTAGAAAGAAAAACCAGGTCCGAGGGATCCAAAGCCAGGCAACAGGCACAATGTAAATGGGCAGGACGAATTCCTGCTCCCACCCCACAGAAGGCCATGTCTCACGGCATAAATAGGCCCAGGGAATTCAAAGATTGCTGACAGCAGGAAAAAAGGGAGGCATAGGTTAGGGCGGATAATTCCTTTTCTCCAGGTTTTCCCTGCTTCATGGGTACATACCACAATTGTAGTCATGGCCAGCACCTGCCAAGGTCACCAGGGTTCAGGGATAAGAGGTGGAGAGTGAAGGGAGGACATTCACTTTCTCTATCACATCCTGAGTTTTCACTGAAAGAAGGAAGGGAAATGAGGAACATCTCTATTCCCTGTCTTTCAGAATGGGCAACCAGTTCTCTTCACCATCCTCAGCTTATACTCTTCTGGAGTGTATCCTGGATGATTGGGACTGCTGTGACTCTCAGAATCTGGAGGAAAAGTGCCTCATGGCTCCCTGCACAAAGGTTTGGCAAAATTATGATTTACAAGAAAGACTGGCTTGGCCTCAGGAAGGGACCATTCATTTCGATACCATCTGGCAAATGGAACTTTTCTGTAGATGTGAGGACAGATAGTCTAAGGTCCCCTATATGCAGGCTTTCTACACCTTGCAAGGCAGTCCAGACGTCTACCGACAATGTAGGATTGATCCAGCCCCCACGTTTGCCATCTCAGGGAAGGCTGCAAGGACCAAGCCCAGGGAATTAAAGATCTGAGTCCCAGAGGCACCCCCAGCAGAGGAGCCAGCTCCCTCAAGCCCTGCTCCTCCAGGTCCACCCCCACCTTCCTATCCAACTTCAGCCTCTCACTTGTGCCCTCCTAGAAATCCTCTCTCTAAACAAGCCCCGGTCTCACTCTTGACCCTCCAACAGATGCCCAGTGAATTTGGATCCAGTAAGGTCCAGATCCCCTTCTCCCTACAGAACTTAAAGCAAATTAAGGGGAATCTTGGCAAATTTTCATATGACCCTGATAGATATATGGAGGTTTTCCACAATTTCACCCAAAAAAATTTGAACTCTCCTGGAGAGACGTTAGGCTACTTTTGAATCAGACCCTGACGGACACTGAAAAGCAGCCTGCTTTGCCAGCAGCAGAGAGATTTGGGGATGAGCTTTGTATCACATATAGCGTCAGGGAAGGGGGTGAATATTACCCAAACTGGAAGAGAAGCAGTATCAGTGTATGACCCTAAATGAGATCCCAGCGATGAGGTGGAAGACTGGAAGAGGAGACACACTTAGGTGTGCATAATAGAGGGCTTATGTTGGACTAAGCCAGAGCCTCCCAATTATACTATGTTGTCCATAATCGTCCAGGAATTTGATGAAAATGCCACGTAGCCTTCCTGGAATGGCTGAGAGAGGCCTTGGTAAAGCACACTTCTCCTATCTCCTGATTTAGTTGAGGGACAGCTAATCCTAAAGGATAAATTTATTACCAAGGTAGTCCCTCATATCAGGAGGAAGCTATAAATACAGGACCTAAGACCAGATGGTACTTTAGAGAACCTCCTTAAAGTAGCCACCTCGGTCTTTTATAATAGGGAGGCCCAGCAAAGGGAGAGGAAATACAGGAAAGAGAAAGAAGCTTTAATGGCCCCCAGACAAGCCTACAAACCCCAGAATTCCCAAGGGTGCACCTGTTAAGTGCTAAAGATATGGCAGGAACAGTTATCTCTCATTCTAAAAGTTTATCCACTCCCATACAAGATTTAATGTCTTTCACCAGGGTTAAAAGGCTCGGGATACAATGTTGTTGTTTGTATATTTCACTTCTTATTGCTATAATCTTTGGGACTAAATTCTTTTGTATAACACACATTTAACCCATCCATACTTAACCTGATAAAACTTATTTTTTTCCTCTTATGCCTAGAAGCCATCAAACTCCAAATGGTCAGGTAACTGGAGCCTCAGGCGATGGCTCCCCCTTTGGTAGGAACACTTAGATAGACTAGGAGGAATCTGTTTTCTCCCCAAAACAATGCCCCCTGTCGGCAGGAAGCAGGTAATACCAATCACCATTCATATTCTAAAGGCAGTAAGATGTACCTACCACTTCAGAGGGGGGAAATGATACAGAAGAACTGGGAAGGGCATGGACCCTTTAAGTGATAGGAAAGTGGGGAAGGGAAGTGCTGTGTAGAGCAAGCCATAGTCCCTGGCTAGGGCTTCACCGCCAGGCCTGTGCCCACGGACCTGGGTAAAGACAGGCATTTTTATTTTCCTGAACAAATGTTGCATTTCCCAAGACCACCCTGGCTGCCACATACCATCCTGTGCCTATAAAACTCTGAGACCCTAGCAAGCAGACATACAAGCAGCTGGATGTCAAGAGGAGCACATCAGCAGAGGAACATATAGGCGGCTGAACGTTGGGAGGATTGCACCAACAGGCACCAGCAAGCTGGCAGGGCATTGACTGGCAGAACAATGTGGGGTTTGGCTGGGGTATTTTGAGGAGAGCCCAGGCCACTGAGTGGCCCAGCTCCAGGGGAAAAACATCTCCTTTCTGGCTCCCTCATCTGCTGAAAGCTACTTCCACTCAATTAAACCTTGCACTCATTCTGTAAGCCCACGTGTGATCCGATTCTTCTCGTACATCAAGGAAAGAACCCCAGTATACAGAAAGCTGTCTGTCCTTGTGACAAGGCAGGGGTCTAATTGAGCTAACATAAGCCATCTACGGATGGCTAAACTAAAAGAGCACCCTATAACACATGCCCACTGGGGCTTCAGCTGTAAACATTCACCCCTAGACACTGCTGTGGGGTTGGAGCCCCACAGCCTGCCCATCTGTATGCTCCCCTAGAGGTTTGAGCAGCAGGGTACAGAGGCAGCCACATCCCCATTGCATGTACTGTGAGGGGGACAAGGAACTTTTCCCGTTTCAATATCATATTGTAAACCTCAAAAATACACAATAAAACTTTTAAAAATGAAAATCAAAAGGCAATTCAGAAACTGTGAGAAAATATTTCCAATACATAGAAAAAAGTAACATCCATAATATATAAAGGACTCTTATAACTCCATAAGTCAACCCAATTTTTAAAAAATGGGCATAAGAAAACATGAATAGTAAATTAAACCTATAAAAATATAGTCAATACCATCAGTCATTAGGTAAATGCAAATTACAATCACCATGATGCCACCTTACTGCCACTACAATGGCTAAAGGTATTAATAGAAAGCCTGACAATACTAGGTGATGGCAAAAATGTGGAGCAACTAGAACTCTCATACTAGTGGGAATGCTGAATTGGTATAATCATTTTGGAAAATATCTTGGCAGTTCCTTATAAAGTTAAACATTTACTTTCCGTAAGACCCAACGATTCTACTATATGTGTTTACCCAAGAGAAATGAAAACACATCTGCACAAAAATGTGTATATGAACATTCATAGCGGCTTCATCCATAGTAGCCCCTACTGGAAACAAACCAACTGTTCATTCACAAGTAAATGGGGAAACCAGTTATGATTTATTGAGACCATGAACTACTACTCAGCAATAAACAGATGTAAACTACCAATACATGTAACAATATGGATAAGTTTCAAAAATATTATGTTGAGTAAAAGGAGGAAACAAAGAGTACATACTTAGATTCGTTACATAAAATTCTAGAAAAGGGAAATACAATTTATAGTGACAGAGGAGAAACCAGTGGTTGCCTAGTGTCTGGCATGGAGGGGAACTGACTGCAAAGGAGCATGAGGGAATCTTTTGGAGGCGAAGGTAATATTCTATGTTGATTATGGTGGTTGTTATATGGGTGTATGCATATGTCAGCATGGGTGTACTTTACTGTATATAATTATTTCTCTTATATATAAAGTATGCCTCAATGTTGATCTTTTTAATTGTCCTTGTAGATTGTAGATTTTGTCTTTACATGTTGACATATTGAGTAGCAGTGTGCAGGCTTCCGAGCAATAGACTACAGCCATTGTCACCTAATGATAGCCTGCAGGGCAAATCTAGCCCTATATGGCCCACAAGCTAGGAGTAATTTTAGTTTTTAACATTAAAAAAGTCAAAGGAAGAATATTACTTTATGACACATGAAAATTATATAAATTTCAAATTTCAGTATCCATAAACAAAGTTTTATTGGGACATAGCCATGCTTATGTATTTACATATCATCTATGACTACTTTTGCACTATTATGGCAGAGTTGAGTACTTGCAACAGAGACTACTTAACCTAAAGGCCTAAAATATTTACTATCTGTCCCTTTATAGAAAAAGCTTGTGACCCCTACCCTAGAGTACAGGAATTCTTCCTGTCACTTCCCATTACCAAATAATGGAATTAACCAGGTTCTCAATCCTTTTACTTATCTCCTGTGTTTGGGGAGGTAGATCATAGGCTTTGGAGTAATATAAGTCTAAATTCAAATCTCATTTACCACTTCCTACTACAATTGTCCCTCTATAACCATGGAGATTGGTTTCAGGACCTCCTGCAGAAACCAAAATCCATGGATATAAAAATCTGCGGACACTGAAGTCCCTTATATAAAATGGCATAGTATTTGCACTACACATGTCCTCCTGTATACTTTAAATCGTGCTTACCTTTATAATACTTAATATAATGCCAACACACCACTTCACTCATGAGGATTTAATGTAGTGTGAAGCTAATTCAAGTTTTGTTTTTTGGAACTCTAAAAATTTTTTTCCTGAATATTTTCGATCCAAGGTTAGTTGAATACACACATATGGAACTCATGGATGTGGAGGGCTGACTATATTTCTTTGGGCAATTTTTTTAAGCTTTCAGTTTTCTCAGATTTTTCATTTAGAAAGTAGGGGAGATGCTATACAGATGACTGCTGAAAGGATTAATGAGATAATGTAAATAAAATACATATTGTCTGGCAGTTAATAAACACTTTATATTTCTTCATATTCTCCTTCTAAATATTTAAAAACAAGGGTTTGTCAAATGGTGAAAAAAAGAATGAGCCTGATCACCTACTAGTCAGTTTTCAAATTAGAAGGACAACCTATTACTCCCTACATTATGTTAGTTCTTATGCTGGCAGAAGTTAGTTACCAAACTTCATTTACTTTTGAAAAAACCTTTTATGCCTATCTTTGTACTTACTATAAATATAATCGTACAATATGTAGTTTGTGTCCGGCTTCTTTTGATTAACCTTACATTTGTGAGATTTACAATATTGCTGTGACTATATTGTTGCGTAGAGTTGTAGATCATTCATTATCCCTGATGTATAGTACTTCACTATGAAGCTTTATTTACTTTCTTTTATTAAATGGTCATTTTAATTTTTAATAGAGATGTGGTATCACTATGTTGCCCAGGTGGTCTTGAACTCCTGAGCTTAAGCCATCTGCCTGCCTCAGCCTCCTAAAATGCTGGGATTACAGGTGTGAGCCACTGTGCTCAGCCTATTTACTTTCAATTATAAAATTAAA